CCTAGGCTCCATTTCCCACCCTTGGGAATTCTATTACCTCATGGACTACTTGGCCACTCTCCCACGATCTTCCTGTATATAAGGTCCATCTTGTCTCCATTAAGATGCTCAGATTTTACAATCTAGCCAATAGCCCATAGATGCTCAGATTCCTTAAGAGTCTAGCTAATATGGCGAATCTTCAATAAACTTTGTTTTTGACTACAGAAAGGCTTGGGTCGAAATCTTTCGGGCAGGACCCAGGTATCGTGATTTTGGGGTGCCAGGACCCCTAACCTCTAGACCGCATCAAGTCCATACAAGTCTTTCCAGGTTTTTCTGAAGTCTGCCTGCTCATCATTCCTTATAGCACAATAGTATTCCATCACATTCACATACCACAGCTTGGTCAGCCATTGCCCAACTGACGGGCATCCCCTCAGTTTCCAATTCTTTGCCACCACAAAAAGAGCTGTTACTCTTGGTTAACCTAATGGAAATCTAGCCCGCCATTGTCTATTACCAGTCTGATAGCCTTGGGCCACATCCAGATTCCCATTTGATGTCATGGGCCACCTGAGCTAGTCCCTGCCTTAGGAGCCCCACCCATAGGGCCCATCCTCCAACAAACCCAGTCTTTGGCCTAAAGAAGGCCTAGGTTGAAATTTTTTTTCCCTAATTTCTAATTGAGACCCTGATATATGGGAGAATATTTCATTAATTCCAAAACAGTGCATATCAATAAGTTGTGCACAATAAAATATGTTTGTACCACTGGGCATACATTATAAAATTATTTCCACCATAGTAATAAACTTTGAAATAATCCATTATCAATTTAGTTGAAAGTACGTCTAAGTTCACTTTGTACAGAAAATCATTCATCTCATAATTAATATGTTGAAACTATAACTTTAAACCACCATATATTTTCATAATGGTCAAGATTTCAAATGAAAATCTGCTGTCATATTCAACAGTTTCAAATTATCTCATTTTTGTCACTAAAAGACCCATTCCAGGTTAAGAGTTACTTTAACACCATTTCAACCTCACAATGGTCCCTCAAAGTTTACAATCGAAGAGTTTTACAAATACAATACAATTTAGAAATACAGTAATAACACAAATAATAAACTTCAGATATCAACTACATTTTCAGATTATCAACCAAACAGTAAACTTCTGATTTATAATTGCTAAAAACATTTTTGCTTTAAATCCAATATTCTTGGCCCTTTAAAAGGAAATATTCTCCATAAATTTATATATTCCCTTTAAAAGACACATGGTGATAATTCCTGCTTTAAATAATTCTCTCCCCTTTTCTTTCCTACTTCCTTAAGGGAGCATTGAATTAACCAGGAGTAGTCAATTTCCCCCCCTTAGGCAGAAAGCCTCTAGAGTTCCAGTAATTAATTGAACGGCCTGGGAAAACATTTTAAGATTTTATGTAACAATCTCCAAGCACAATAACCAATATCTTTACCGTAGCCAAAATTTATGCAAGGCCAGATTTAATAAAGCCCTCCTACAGGTTTATCCTGAGAGGTGGATAGCCTTTTATAATTCCATTGGTTGTTAAATCAAACTATAAAATTTTCACTTTCAATTTTTCTACCCAAAGCAGAATCAAACTTTTTCACATTTTTAAAACCCCTTGAAGCTGGCAAAGTCACCCAGAACAAACATCCAAGGGTGGGGAACTTAAGAGCACATGCGCTCACCTCAAAACACTCTACCCCCACCCAACTCTCAAACTTCATATATAATTTTTCTTTTTCCTTCTTTTTCAAACACGTTACCCCAGCTACTTCTAATTTCCATTGTATTCCAAAATAAAAGACTTGCTGCTTTCCTTCACCCTGTTCTGAAATCCAAAGGGAGATAAGAATTACAAATCCAGAGAATAGCATTCCCCCCCCCTCCACAAATAGCTTTTATAACGTTACTATGCATTTTAAACAAATCACTGAAATCCTAAATCGATCACATTAAAAGACAGAAAAACCCTTATTTTAGCAATTTTTAACACGTTGCCTTGATATCAGATACATTGGCGGGAGAGATACAAAGACAGTAATTTAAACTCTTAGCTTTGGGATCTGATTAAACCTGAATTCAAATTCTTCTCAGTCCCTTTCCTGTCTCACCCTCATCATCTTGGGCAGCATGCTCCAAATCCTTAGCAGTACCTCCCTGATCTTTGATTCTAATCTCAATCTCCTGCTGAAAGCCTGAGATGGGAGTTCTTTCCCACTGTTCCTTCTCTAATTACAGACCTTAGAAGTTACTTAGAAGTTTTTCTGGCAAACATAAAACATTTACATAGGGACAGACAGACAGCTTTGACAGGCAACATGCACACCTTGACCAGTCAAAAGAAAACTCATTCTGTCCCAGGGTCCCCTTTGCCTAGCTCTTCGCTCCCCTGGTTCTTCTCCCCTGGACTCCTTAACTTCCTCCGAGGGGGATGGTAGGGTGGAAGGAGAGCAGTTAATGGGTCCCATGGTTTTCCCCTCTTTTTTCCTTCACTAGGAAAAGTTTTAACTCAGTGCTGCTTCCTTTCAAGCAGGAAGCATTGTCTGACTCCTCCCCAATAATAGGGGTTTTGGCATTTTCTTCCTATACTTACCCTGGGTAGATGAACTACCCCAGTTAGTTAGCATCCTCCCCAGTGGATTGTCTTGGGTAATCTCTGGAGGCGAGCCTTCACCTCTCTTAGGCACCTTCATCCTAGAATTCTTTCCTCCCACCTTAGGACTTCTACTCTGATGGTCCTTTGGACTGGTCTCGCCTAGAACCCCTGAAACCTCACTCTGAAAACCCAAACTAGTGTTGGTCAGGTTAGAGGGGTGAGATATCTGGACTAACAAGGCAGTACTTCAGCCACCATTTTTGCCCACCGTCGCTCAATATATCAACTGTGATATCTGCTGTCACAGATTTGGGATTCCCAATCATTCACCCACTCCTTCCCAATTGGAGGCTCCAGAGTCCTTGGTCGATCTAGACACAGGCACAGAGGGAAGACAGAGACCTCTCAAATGGAGCAGGAGCTCTCACATCTGGGTTCCTCCTTTTCCTGGTCCAGTATCGTCTCGGATTCCCGGCCCATAAACCAAATTGTTAGAAAAATCTGAAACAAAAATCTACTACAGGAGTGAGTGAAGGAAAGCCTTTATTATGCTTCTCTAGAGAAGCGGGCACACCACACCTTCATACAACACATTCACACAGGTACAGAAGTAGAGTCAACTTTTAAATGATTAGTAAAATCCATACTCCTCCCATTTGAGCTGGGATTGGACCAACTCAACTGGGTTATACTCTTCCTGAACTGCCCATCCCATGTTCCTCCATGTTCCTCCTTGTCATGTTAATCCCTCCTGGTCATGCGTCCCATGTTAAAAAATGGCGGCTATCTCCACCCTTGGGGTATGTCAGTTGATATTCAATAAGCTTATTAAACAAGCACAGGGGAGAAAAACCTTTGCCCCATCCTTCATCCTGACCTATTGCGACTGGTTTAGCCTCTAGGGCTCTGTCTTCAGGAAGCAGCGGTTTTGCAGAATGTTTGGGACACTTTCTGATTGGTTGAGGAATCATCTACAAGATCTTGGAAGTCCCCATCAGAATTCCTGTGTTCAGACGTTCGGGCATCTGCCGGAAATATGCAATCAGATCATCAATCAATTAGAGCAAAGTTCAGGGTAAATACTGAATTAGAAGAAAGGATAAAACTGAAATGAACAAGGTAAAGGATAATATAGTGTTGCTGCTCTACTACCACAAGTCTGTTTTTTTTTAAACAGTTCACCCTAAAAAAGGGGGGGCAAAAAACACATTGACTCAGACTAATTTTTTTCCTTAGAAAAGTTTATCAGTAGAAAAAAAAATCAAATTCCCAAATCCCTCTTAATTGTAGTGCCTTCCCTCTGTTAATTATTTCCTACTTAATACATATATAGCTGGCTTTGTATGTCATTGTTTACAAGTTGCATCCCCGATCATATTGTGAGCTCCACAGTCATTGTATACAGCATCAGCAATATTGCAACAAAAATTACGTGTGAAAGATTTAGCTACCCTGATGAATCCACAACAATTCCATGGGACTCATGAGGAACAGTGCTATCCACCTCCAGAGAGTGGATTGATGGACTCAGAACAGACAGAATAAGATTTTTTTCTTTATTTATTTTTCTTGCTTCCCTTCCTCCTCCCCAGGGCTAATTCAGGAAATATGTTTTGCGGGACTTCTTATGTATAATGGGTATTGTTTTTCTTGCCTTCTTAAGAAGGATGGGGGCAGAGGGAGAAAAAGAATTCGGAACTGAAAATAAAAATTTTTAAATAAAAAAAAGTTTGTAAGTTCCTCGAGGGCAGGAACTGCTCTTTTTGTATCTCCTGTGATGAGTATAGTGTCTGGCACATAGCAGGCACTTAATAAATATTGATTGATTGCTTGACAGTTGAAGGATACTAAATAAGCCTAAAAATGCTTTGGCAAATTAATAAGTCAGGTTGATGAGGCAGCCAACTACACTGTTTTCTTTGTTTGTTTGTTTGTTTTTTTAGTGAGGCAATTTGGGTTAAGTGACTTGCCCAGAGTCACACAGCTAAATCAACTACACTGTTGAGAGTACAAGTTCACTTGCAAGACATTATGGAATAGAATGACAGAAGATTATGAACGATATCACCTCAAAAAAACAAAAAAGCAAACAAACAAACCCACCCACAGAAAGCAGTGCGGCAAAAACTGAGTCCCCGAAGGCTTTCACATAAGATCCAGCTTGGCCAGACCATCCAAGAGTATTCACTCTTCTCTTGCTGCTAGAAGAAATGGCCTTTTGTGGAGATCTGGCCAGTGCCTGTCCAGTTGAGGGATTTTGAGGAATGGAGATGCTAAATGAATCTAAGTATGGGGTTTATTGACCATTTACAGACATTGAGAGCACACTCCCCCGAAAGGTACTTCGCTGCCAGCCCTGGAGGACAGAAGTGAAGCCACACACCTTTGAACCAGAGTCGCAGGTAATGGACTAGCTCTAGATGGCCCCCAGATGCTAGGGGGCCAAAGGAGCTGGGTGCCCCAATTCAGACTGAGCCTAGTCACCAGTGAATACACTAGCCATGATTCAGACAAGGCAACACATCAGGGTTAGCAGAATCCCTTTGCAGGATGATTCCTTTGTCAGTATAATGTATGATTGGCAATCCTATGGCCAGGGCTACTCTCCCAGCCCTCTCATAGTCACTCAAGCTGCTTCTGTCTGTAGGTCCCTTCTCTGCCTGCTCCTCTGGGGCAAATCTACCCTGCCAGCATCACCTGTTCATAGCAGCTTTGAAGCCTTCAATGATTCTCTCCTGCTTTCTGAGAAAATTTTCAAACTCCTCTGCCTCCTCAGCTTTTTAGCTTTATTTCATAATATTTCTCTCCACAGAATCTGACCCCCAAAGATCTCAGGCTGTTCCTTACGCCCAGAATATTTGGACTTTATTGAATTCCAGACTTTTCCTTTAAAGTCTTACCCAAATACCACCACCTCCAGGATGCCTTCTTTGAGTGCCTTTCTGACTTATAATGATGCTGGAAGTTCAGAATTCCTGTCACTCCTTGTGGATCCCCTTTGTCTTGTGTTTTTAGTCCTTTGGCTTTGTGCCTCCTTCTGCTACTGGTCTATGAGCTCCAGGAAGGAAGGGATGGTATTAGGCAAACTGTGCTTCTCCCCCAGAGCCAGCCTGACTCCTCCTAGAGTCTCCAATTGTGAAATTTTCAGTGTAAGCACTTACACCTCAGAAATCAGTAAATGCTACAAATGAACGCTTCCTTCATTGCTTTCTTGGTCATCTAGACTAAAGAAAGTGATTGAGAAAATGTTAGTGGCAGCAAGGTGGCACAGTGGATGCTCATTAGCTGTGTGACCTTGGGCAAGTCACTTAACCCTGATTGCCTTGCCGAAAGAAAAGAAAATGTTAGCAATTCACATGAAACTTGAAAGTGTGGTATGGCTTATAGTAGCTTTTTTTAATAGTGGCAAAGAATTGGAAATTAAGGGGATGCCCATCAATTGGGGAATGACGGAAGAAGCTGTGATATATGATTGTGATGGAATACTATTGTGCTATAAGAAATGACAAGTAGATGGACCTCAGAAAAACCTGAAAAGACTTGTATGAGCTGATGCAAAGTGAAGCAAACAGAACCAGTAGAACAGCGTAGACAGTAATAAAAATATTGTATGTACTATGATCAACTGTGAATGACTTAGCTATTCTCGATGATTCAAGACAGTTCAGAATGAAGAGAAAAATGCAATCCACCTCCAGAGAAAGAATTCATGGAGTCTAAATGCAGATCAAAGCATAATTTTTAAACTTTCTCTTCTCTATTTTCTCTTTTTGGTCTGTGTTCTCTTTTGCAACATGGCTAATATGGAAATATGCTTTGCACAACTGCACATGTATATAATTTATATCAAATTGCTTGCCTTCTCTAGGAGGGGGAAGGGGAGGGAGGGAGGAATTTGGAATCTAACAATTATTTTTAAAATGAATATTAAAAATAATTTTACATGTAATTGAGAAAAATAAAACAATATTCTTTTTAAAAGTGTGATATGAGGACTTTTTTTTTTTTTTTTAGAGAAAAGGCATTTATTTACTGCTGGTTGTTAAACATTTACCAGCACATCCCTGCCCCTGGTTGAGCACAGGGTTCTTTGTATATCATAGGTGCTTAAATGAATCTCTACTGAATGAATGAATGAATTTTTTTTAAAACTGCCTTGTCAGTGGCTTCCTGGGCTGGTCTGGGCAGGCTGGGCTAGTCCTCTGCCAACAGACATAGTCAGTCCATTACTCAGCCTCCATGGAAAGTCAGGAAGCGACAATTACTGCAGAAATAATTCCTGCTCAGACACTTTACTGAGCTCCCTGCTGGAACATACATCTTGGAATTTCACCTAAAACTAAGGAAGTTCAATGTCAAGTGATAAGACTGGCAAGGAAGGTTTCTTGGAGGAAGTAAGGAGTGTAACCAGAGACCTCTGAGGCCCCTCCCATTTCTGGTAATCTGGGACATTTCCCCTCCCCACCCACACTCCTGGGGTTGGTCCAGACTAGAGCACACCCTGTTCCCGTTATCCCTCACTGAAACGAGACAGTGACAAGAGGAAAGCCAAGAGACTAAAGAGAAGAAGGGGTGAGTGGGAGAGGGAGGTAAAACAGCCTTGGTGAAGGGGCAGGGCAATCAGTGGGCAGGGACCGGGACACACCGGAGGCACGTCAGAAAAAAACAGAGAGGAAAACTAGAGCTAAGTAGAGAATTTGAGACTGAGACTGGGAGAGGAGAGCCACTCAAAGACTGATCAGGAGGCAGTGGCCAAGCCAGGCACCTGGGGAGGACCCAAGTAATTGTGATTGGCACGTGTGGAAGGTAAGAGGGGGAAGTAGCAAGGGACCAAGCTGGTGACGGGAGGAGACGAAGAAGGAAGAAAGACAGATGGCCGGGCTACACCTCCCACTTTCCCTCCTGGCAGAACCCAAGGATGGCAGCGACGGACGGGGCAGGGCCAGGTGAGGAGGTCTCAGAGTTCATGGGTGAGCGGGGCACGTATGTGCCGTGCCTCTCCTGGGACTCCCTAACCCGGGCCCTGGGGTGCCCCTTCTGAGCCCAGTGGCCCCTCTGACTCAACCCTCTCCTCTCCCAGACTCCAGCCCCCAGAAGCCTCGATCCATCCCAGAGCTGATTAGGAAGAAGCGAGATGGGGATCGCCTGGAAGACGAAGAGATTCGGAGCTTTGTTCGAGGGGTGACAGAGGGGACGGTGCAGCAGGCCCAGATAGGTGATACACACACACCCCTGACTCTACCTGCCCCGAGACCCAGAGCCACCTCCTGAGCCCTGGCCGCTGGCCCACGCACCTCCCCGGGGACCCCAAGCTCCCCGGTCCCTGGGGACTTACCGCAACCTTACCCAGCATCTATTGCCCCATCGGGATCTCCCTGTGCCCACAGGAGCCATGCTGATGGCTATCCGACTGCAAGGCATGGACCTGGGTGAGACAGAGATCCTGACCCGAGCACTGGCTGAGTCTGGGCAGCAGCTTCAGTGGCCCGAGGCCTGGGGACCGCTGCTGGTGGACAAGCATTCGACCGGTGGCGTGGGGGACAAAGTCAGCCTGGTCTTGGCACCTGCTCTGGCTGCTTGCGGCTGCAAGGTTAGCCCCCTGCCCCCGTCCCTAGGGGCTGAAGGACTGGGCACAAGCTCCCTCGGGGGGGGGGGCTAGGAGAGAGAGAGAGAGGGGAAGATAAATGTGGGTCCTTCCTCTTAGGCCTTCTCCCCACTGTCCACTTAAACTCTGCTCAGAGCTCCAGCTCAGTCAGGCCGGGTCTCAGGCAGACCACCTCTGCCTCAAGGCAGGGGCCTGAATTGTTGGAGAGCGGACTGACTGAGAACCCCCAGGGGTGAACACACAATCACATTTCCCTTTGAATCACAGACCAGGGATGAGAGCTGAAGTGTGGAGAAGGGAGGTTCAGGAAGTTTCAGCCCTTGGTGAAGGAGCAGGGCTGGGTTCTCATCCCCACAGGTGCCAATGATCAGTGGGCGGGGACTGGGACACACCGGGGGCACGCTGGACAAGCTGGAAGCCATCCCAGGCTTCTCAGTGGTACAAAGTCCAGAGCAGGTATTGGGCAAAGGGCCCTGACTGGGGGCACCTGATAAACAGTCACTAATGGGTGGGGCAGTCTTAATTGGAGGTCAAATGACTGAGGGGAGAAATCATTGGTCCAAAATCACCGGGGGTCATTGATGGATGGGACATGACTGTTTGGGGCCCTGCGGTCACTCATGGGGGATCCTCCCGGACCGGGAGAGCAGATGCGGGAGCTGCTGGAGCACGCAGGCTGCTGCATTGTGGGGCAGAGTCAGGAGCTGGTCCCTGGAGATGGAATCCTTTATGCCATCCGGGATGTGACTGCCACAGTGGACAGCCTCCCCCTCATCACAGGTGACCTGCTCCCCTTACCCCGCTGGAGTCCAGTCACGGGCACTCTGGTTTAGGACCAGCCTGACTCTGGGCGAGTGGAACCACACCACGCCTCCGCGCCTCCGGCTGGACTTCTGCAGGGATCCCTGGTTCTAGCCCAAGCACCCTTCTCTGCCCCCTCTAGCCTCCATCCTCAGTAAGAAGGCTGTGGAGCAACTCTCGACCCTGGTGGTGGATGTGAAATTTGGGCAAGCGGCCATCTTCCCAAGCCAAGAAGGCGCTCGAGAGCTTGCCCAGGCCCTGGTGAGTGAGCGCGCGCAGCAGAGGCTCGTCATTCCACCAATGCTCTTTGCACCCCAGGGGCTTCCTGTGCCGATGAAATCACCAACCCAGTCCTTGGGAGGTGGGGGGG